AGTTTTCCAGGGAGACAGAACCAATTGTGTGTGTATGTGTGTGTGTGTGTGTGTGTGTGTGTGCATGTGTGTCCATTTACTAGAGGAATCATCTGACACAATTATGGCAACAGAAGCTCCATGACCATCTGTATGCAAGTTGGAGTTTCTGGGATTTTGGTAGCATGGAATAGTATAAATCTGAAGATCTCAACAGCAGAGAAATGATAACATAACTCAGAGTCCAAGGCTGAAAGCCTGAGAACCTGGAGGCTGTTGGTGTAGATCATGGAGTTTGAAGACAAGTGAGCTTTGAGTTCTGATGTCTATGGAAACAGAAGAAGTCTATCTTACTCTTTCTCAAAAGACATCCATTTGTCTTCTATATCTATTCTCTCTGGGCCCATTGCTAATTGAATGATACTCAGACACAATGAGAACAGATATTTCACATCTTGTCTGCTTTGCCTAGCATGTTGCTCTCTTTCAGAACTCCACCTCTACCCTCCATATATACCCAGAATAGAGCTGAATGTTTTATTGTGTTCCCAGGCAATTCTCAGACTAGTCAAATAGACACCTAAAACTAACCATAACAGTTTACAAGTAGTTTGAGATTTAGGACCAATCAAATATCCATCAAAAGTAGAATGGACATAAATTTTAGTGTTCTGTAGTACAGTATGGTACTATAGTTAGCAATAATTTAGTGTATATTTCAAGATAGCTATAAGAGAGGATTTTGAATTTTCTTAACACAAAATTATGATAAATGCTTGAAGTGAAGGATATGTTAATAACCCTAATCACTACACATTGTGTTCACATATTGAGAAATCACATTGTACCCAATAATAATGTACAATTATGTGTCAATTAAAAATAATTTTGGGGGGCTGGCAGGTGGCATGGTGGCTAAGGGCTCTGGATTTCCACATGGCCAACCATGGTTTGAGGCCCAAACCTGGTGGTTTGTTTTCTCACTTTTCTTCTCTCTCTGTCCCTCTCTGGTCAAATTTAAATGGATAAATAAATAAAGTTAAATAAAAAAATAGTTCTTAAAAAAATAATAATTTCTGGACCAGCTCTGTGGCATAGCGGATAAGGCAGCTGGATCCCTCATGGCTGACTCTGTGGTTCAAGTTTCAGATCTGAGCTTGAGAAACACTCTAGAGTATGCATATGCATGTCCTGAATTCTGAAACGAGGGAATGATGGATAAGAGATGGGCTGTAACCTGACTATTCCCCATGTGGGGATGCTTTCTCCTCTCCCTGTCTGTCCCTCTGGTAAGTATACATGTCATCTAGGAAAAAAAAAAAACAAAACTAAAAAGAGCAGAATGAAAAAATTGTAGTATATTTACACAGTGAGATACCCTATTTCAGTGAGAATGAATTGCCTGACCTATACTTTATGATGAGGCTAAAACTCACATGCATTTTGTTGAATAAAAGAAGCCAGACATAAAAGGGTAAATGTTGCAATCCTATTTGTATAAAAAAACAAAAGCAAAAGATAATTAATACTATTAGAATATGGAAGACTTAATGCAAAGTGAAGCAAGCCAGACAATAAAAGACAATGTATGTCCTTACTTAATATATACTGAATGTTTGTACTTTATAGCAGAAACTGAAAGATTGGGATGTAACAGCAGGAGGGTAACTGTACATACCAGAGACAGTATTGTAGGGAGTAGGCAGTAGGGGTAAGAGTGAGGGGATCAGGGAAAAAAAAATAAACAAATAAAACATTTCATAGACACAAAAGTGAAAGGTTATCTGTTGATGATAATGTATATGGTAATGTCTTTGACTGTATTCATGCTATGAAAAACCATGTTCTACATCATATACAGTAATTAAATACAATTTCTGTAAAAATACAAATTAAAAAGAGAAATAAACATGTATTTTTTCTCATAAAAAATAAATGAAGTCAGGAACATGTTTATTCTTGGGTGGAGGACAGCTATTCAAAAGGAGTGGGAGCACCCTGATAATACTCTGCTTCTCATCTCACTACTGGCTATGTTGCTGTGCTCAGTTTATAAAAATTAATGAAACTGTATATATACAGCATAGGCACTTCTCCACATATATATCACGCTTAAGCAAAAAAGGTTTTAAAAATTATCTGGTGGGTTCAGACAGTGGCACAAGATTAAACACAACACATTCCAAGGCCACCCCACATGAGAAGGTGTCCTGTTCAGGAGACTTCCCTGAGTGTATCAAATAACATGAGCTCATGATCTGGGGCTGGCTGATGGCTGGATCTTGGTGTTGGAACACTGTTGGGGGTACTGATTCACTCTCTCCCAACTTCTCTTTCTTTTCTTGAGAGAAATAAATAATCAAATAAACATTATCAAAAGTTTACATTAAAAAGGGGGAGTTAAAAAGGGTGCCCAGAGCTAGAAAGGACAGGGAAATTGCAGGCCTCTTAAGCAGACATCTCCGTCTGAAGCCCCTGCCCATTTTAGGGACCAGCATCAGGGCTGAGCAGCCAGAGCCACAGCCCCTCCCATCTAACCTCACCTCCCAGACTCAGAGCGAAAAAGGTAAGTGAAATTCTTTCCCCTTTCTTTTGCTCATTCCTTACTTTCCTACCTCCACATAGAACAGGGGAAGTGCAGGCCTCTTAAGTAAATATATCCATCTGAAGCCTCCAGCCCATTTTGTGCACCACACAAGTGCAACACATGATTTTTTAATTTTCTTTTTATGTTTTCAATTCTCTTTTTCTTCCACCTTACTTTGTCATTTTGCTGCTCAGCCTCTACCCACCGAAGGGCTAGACAAGTCTAGGTGCATAGTAACCCAACATTTGAATTTTGTGAGGCTCAAAGAAATTCTCACCTCCCACTGAACCAGCTGAAAAGAGGGAGAAACTCTTCTTCATAAATCTGAACTCAAAACTCCTCCTGTGGATACCACATCGCAAAACCCAGTAGATGAGAGAAACTGCCAAAGAAGTACCTAACAGTAAAGGGAAACACATGAGCTCATAGTTGTAGAAACCTTCTCCCACAAATTAGTCAAAAGTGAATACATCACTAGATGACTAAAAATCAGAGAAAAGCCTCAACTATGAGAAAACCAGGAAATATATCTCCAACAAGGGAACACAGAAACTTGTCTCCAATTGTGGAAAAAAACAGAGGGAATTACCAACATTCAGAAAATGAATTCAGAATATTTATGGTGACAAAACTCTGAGATGAAGGAAAAAAGAGACATTGATCTCCAAAGCAATAAGGAAGTTCTTTCTTGACTTGAAGGAGATAGACAATATAAAGAAGAATCAAACAGAACTTCTAGAGTTGAAGACTGTAATGCAGGAGATCAAAACCTCCCTTAAAAGTATTAAAAGCAGATTAGATCATGTAAAAGATCAAACCTTGGATCTAGAAGACAAAACCTCTGACCTAGGGAAAAAAAAATCATCAAAAAGAATGAAAAAAAAAGAAGAAGATAATATTTGGAGAATACTAGATACCATTAAATGCCCAAATATCCAAATAATTGGTATCTCAGCAGGTGAAGAATCTAAGGGTATTGATAATCTATTCTATGAAATACTTGCAGAAAACTGTCCAAAGGTAGAGAATCATTCAAACATACAGACCCAATAAATACAAAGAATACCAAATAGAAGCAACACAAGAAGATTCTCTCCATGGCACATCATAGCCAGATTGACCAAAATCACAGAGAAAGACAAGATTCTAAAAATTGCAAGAGAGAAATATCTAGTTACTTATAAAGGCTATCCCATTACACTAACATCAGACATCTCTGTAGAAAGGATCCAAGCAAAGAAAGAACAGAAAGATATATTCAAGTGTTAAAAAAAATTTTTTTCAACAAAGATTACTATATGCAGCAAGATTATCCTTCAAATTGGAAGAAGAGATAGAAGCAGTCTCAGATAAACAAAACCTGAAAGAATTTACCAATACAGAGCAACTCTTCAAGAAGTCCTGAAGGGAGTGATATAGTAGGAAAACTAAAGAGAGACAGAGAGGAATAAGAGAACAAAAAATAATCAAGAAAAAGGCAAAGACAAGTCTGGAAATATCAATAGTAATGTTGAATGTTTAATCTTGATTAAATTTTTCAATCAAGAGACACAGACTGGATGAATTGATTTAAAAAACCCAGATATCTTCTATCTGTTGCCTATAAGAAATGCACCACATTGATAAAGACATACATAGACTAAAAGTGAAGGGCTGGAAAAAGGTATTACATGCAAACAGAAACCAAAAAAAGGCTGGAGTCACAATACCTATTTCAGATAAAATAGGCTATAAGACAAAAACTAAAAGAAGTGACAAAGAAGGGCATTAAATAGCAGTAAAAGGGCTAATTCATCAACAGTAAATAATTAAATAGCAGTAAATAATTAAATAGCAGTAAAAGGGCTAATTCATCAAGAAGATATAATGCTTATAAATATCTATGCACCCAACTCAGGAGCACCCAAATATGTGAAGGAAAAATTGTTAGATCTAAAAGGAGAAATAGACTGTAACACACTAATCATTGAGGATCTCAGCACTCCACTATATCCTTTGGACAGACCATCTAGAAAAAATATGTAAAGAGATACAGGATCTAAACAATCCCACCAATCAAATGGATTTGATAGATATCTATAGAATCTTCCACCTGAAAATCACAAAATACATATTTTTCTCACCCCCCCTCCCATGGAACTTTTTCAAAGATTGACCAAAGATTGACAAAACAAGACTTTATAGATTCAAAGGCATAGAAATGAAATCCAGTATCCTCTCTGACCATGAAGAAATTAAACCTGATCATTGATTACAGAAAGAACCCTTGAGAATACACAACTATATGGAAACTGAACAACCTACTCCAGATTAAATTCACAACCACTAAAGGAAGTAAAACTGAAATCAAAAGATTCATTGTAACTAATAATAACGAGCATACAATTTCCATAACGAATGTGACACAGCAAAAGCAGTTATAAAAAGAAAGTTCATGCTCGTTTCAGCAGCACATATACTAAAATTGGAACAGTGAAGAGAAGATTAGCATGATCTCTGCACAAGGATGGCATGAAAATTCGTGAAGCATTCCATATTTTTAAAATATGTGTCCCCCCAAAAAAAGTAGTTCATTGCAATTATTGTGCATAAAAAAAAGATGGAAAGGTGGCAAATAGACAACCTAACAACACACCTCAGAGAACTGGGAAAACAACAACAAAAACAACCCAGAAATGCCAGGAGAAAAGAAATAATAAAGGTCCAAGCAGAAATAAATGAAATAGAAAATAAACGAACCATACAGAAAATAAATGAAAGCAAAAGCTGGTTCTTTGCAAAGATGAACTGAAGAAATTAAACCTGATCATTGATTACAGAAAGAACCCTTGAGAATACACAACTATATGGAAACTGAACAACCTACTCCAGATTAAATTCACAACCACTAAAGGAAGTAAAACTGAAATCAAAAGATTCATTGTAACTAATAATAACGAGCATACAATTTCCATAACGAATGTGACACAGCAAAAGCAGTTATAAAAAGAAAGTTCATGCTCGTTTCAGCAGCACATATACTAAAATTGGAACAGTGAAGAGAAGATTAGCATGATCTCTGCACAAGGATGGCATGAAAATTCGTGAAGCATTCCATATTTTTAAAATATGTGTCCCCCCAAAAAAAGTAGTTCATTGCAATTATTGTGCATAAAAAAAAGATGGAAAGGTGGCAAATAGACAACCTAACAACACACCTCAGAGAACTGGGAAAACAACAACAAAAACAACCCAGAAATGCCGGGAGAAAAGAAATAATAAAGGTCCAAGCAGAAATAAACAAAATAAAGAACAGATGAACTATTCAGAAAAGAAATGAAACCCAAAGCTTGTTCTTTGAGAGGATAAACAAAATTAACACACCGTTAGCTAGACTAATTGAGAAGAAGAGTGAATGGAACCATATATATCAGATTTGCAATACAACAGGCAATATTACAACAGACATAAAAGAAATACAAAATATCACTAGAGAATACTATGTGTGACTATATGCCAACAAACAAGAAAAACTGGTTGAAATGGACAAATTCCTGGATTTACATAATCTACCAAGGTTGAATCAGAAAGATATAGAAAGCCTGTATAGACCCATAACAAGCAATGAGATCAATTATGTAATAAATAGCCTCCCAACAAAGAAAAGCCCAGGTCCTGATGACTTCACTTCTGAATTTTATACAACTTTTAAAGAAGAGCTAATCCCCATTTTACTCAAACTATATTTAATTATTCAAAATGAAGGAGTGCTCCAAAATTCATTTTATGAAGCTTCCATCATTCTCATCCCCAAAATAGACAAGTACATTACAAAAAAGGAAAACTACAGACCAATATCTCTGATGAACCTAGATGCAAAAATACTCAACAAGATAATAGCAAATCACATCCAAAGATACATAGAGAAGATTGTACACCATGATCAAGTATTCTTTATTTCAGGGATGCAAGGGTAGTTCAACATATGCAAAACCATAAATGTAATATACTATATTAACAGAGAGAAAGATAAAAACCATATAATCATAACAATCAATGCAGAAAAAGCATTTGATAAAAATACATCCCTTCATGATTAATACTCAGCAAAACTGACATAGAAGGGAGAGTTCTCAATACAACAGAAGCCATATATGAAAAACCTATAGCCACCATCATACTAAATGTGGTAGAGCTGAAAGTTTTTCTACTAAAAACTGGAATAAGACAAAGCTGCCTACTTTTGCCACTCTTTTCCAATATAGTACTGGAAGTCCAAGACAAAGCAATCAGAAAAGAGTACAAAATAAAAGGCATAAATTATCTCTATTTGCAGATGACATGATTATATACATAAAAACCCAAAAATAATCCATGAAAAACTCCTGGAAGTGATAAATGAATACAGTAAAGTGGCTGGATACAAAATCAACATACAAAAACCTACAGCATATCTATACACCAACAATGAGTGGATTAAGAACTAAAGAAAAAAAATCCCATTTACAATAGCCAGAAAAAGTCTGATACTCAGGAATAAACTTAGCCAGAGAAGTCAAAGACCTCTACAAGGACAACTACAAAAATCTAAAAAAAGAAATGGAAAATAGAATAAAAAAGTAGAAGGACATTCCATGTTCCTGGGTTTGAAGAATTAATATTATCAAAATGGCAGTCTACCGAAACTACATATTTAATGCAATCCAATCAAATTACCAGAGACATTATTCACAGATTTAGAAAAAACAATCACAGAATTTGTCTGGAATCATAAAAGACCGTGCATTACCAAAGCAATTCTTTGCAAGAAGAGTAGAGTAGAGGGCATCTTACTCTCTGATCAAAAGCTCTTTTACAAAGCTGTGGTAATCAAAACAGCATGGTACTGGCACAAAAATAGGCATGTAGATCAATAGAACAGAAAAGACACCCCAGAAATAACCCCCAAAATGTACAGTCAACTGATTTTTACACAGAGCACCAGTCTATCCAATGGGGAAAAGAAAACCTCTTTAGTAAATGGTGCTGGAAAATCTGTGTATCCATCTGCAAAAAGATGAAACTAGACCCTTATCTCTCACCATTAACAAAAATGAACTCAAAATGGATCAAAGATCTAAACATAAGACCTCAAACTATGAAACTACTGGTGGAAAACACAGGGGAATCTCTTAGAGACACAGGAGTAAGCAAAGACTTCTTGAACAAGACCTTCAAAGTACAGGCAATAATCTCCAAAATAGACAAGTGGGATTACATTAGATTAAAAAGCTTCTGCACAGCAAAAGAAAGAATAGAGTGAATTGACAACCCTCAGAAAGGGAATATATTTGCAAACTATGCCTCAGATAAGGGACTGATAACTAGGATATACAGGGAGCTCAAACAACTTACCCAAAAAGACAATGATCAACCAAATTAAAAGATGGGAAAATGAGCTGAACAGACAACTCTCTAAAGAAGACATGTGAACAGCCAAAACGCATATGAAAAAATGTTCAACATCTCTTATCATAAGGGAGATGCAAATCAAAACTACAATGAGATACCACCTAACCCCTGTCAGACTGGCTAGATTAAAAAAATAAAGAATTATAAGTGCTGGCATGGCTGTGGTGAAAAAGAAACTCTTCTACATTGTTGGTGGGAATGTAAAGTTGTACAGCCAGTGTGAAGAACAATATAGAGGTTCCTCAAAACCTACAAACAGAACCACCATAAGATCTAGCAATTCCACTCCTAGGCATCTACCCAAAGGATAGGAAAAGGCTCAGTCAGAAAAACATTTGCAGATTCATATATATATTCCAGCACTATTCATGATTGCTAAGATGTGGAACCAACCCAAATGTCCACAAACAGATGAATGGATTGAAAAAGTGTGGAACATATACACTACATACTACTACTCAACTATAAAAAAACAGTTAGACCCTGGCATTTAATAGAAAGTGGACAAATATGGAAGATTTACTACTAAGTGAAGTCAGATTATGAAAGAATGGCATCGTATGTCCCTAGTTAATATATACTGAATGTCTGCATTCTATGGCAGAAACTGAAATATTGGACAATATAAAGGGATGGAGAGCAATTGTGGACAACCAGAGACTGTGAGAGGAGAGTGGGAAAGGGCAGAGGGTGAGAAGGAAGAAATCAAGGGGAAAAAGATAAAACAGTTAAGAAACATAAAATGGAAAATTATCTGTTGAAGACAATAGGCATGGTAACATCTTTGATTAGGCCAATATTCAGCATATTCTGGATGGGAAAATTCATTTAATATGCTGTAATGATATACAGTGAACAAATATAAAACAAAAAAAATAAACAAATGCTTCTAGAGTTCAGTAGTATCTAAAAAAAAAAGTCAAGATAACAGTAGCTTAACCACAATAGAATTTTAATTTTAAAATCAGATGATGGGTCAAAACTTCAGTTTGCTAATCCCCACTCTAAGTGCTCCAGAATGCCACTAAGTCCCATGAGACCGCAGATTATGTCTGGTTTATTTTCCACTGTGTCCCCAGGCTCTGGCATACAGTTATTAATTAAAACAGATTAAATAAAAAATATGGGTACCTTGTAAAAAGATATTCTTCAAGATACCATAATTTTCATTTGCTCAAAAGAAAAAAGTTTAATTTCATCAAGGGATAATACAAAGTTCAAGGTTAATGGAGAGGAAATTAAGAAAGGGAGGTGTGTGTGTATCTGTCTTGGTCATTGTTGCAAAAGAACCAAGAAAATAATCCCAAAAGAAAAATTTATAAGCCTAAGAGGACCATGAATACTTTATAGTTAGTAAACAAACTAATCTGCTCTACTATTCACAGTTTTTTAGGTTCTTTTCATTTAAGGAGACTGGTACCAGAGGTCTAGAAAAAGGTGTTATTTCTCATAATTACTGGATCTAAGTATGCTGCAAGTCTGGGGGAATCATTATGTCTTCAAGTTGAGTAACTCTTTTCTTTTGGGGTCAACTTCCTCATTCCCTCTCTGAAAATGATCCAGGGAAACTGCATGCTCCTTCTCTTGGAGTTCCAGAAATAGAACAGAGCAAGACATTAATGAAGAGAGAAAACAATTTTCCATTTATTTTGCTTTCAGAAATACACTTGGAATGGTCTGTGCCAGAGTTGTACTATATCAAAGAAACCATAATCCAAAAGACTAACCCTTTTGAATGATAACCGACTGCATTTTATATTTTCATAGAATTACTTTATTTCCATAAAAAACAGAATTTCCATTTTTCCAAGCAAGGAGCTGAGTTTCTAAAGCTTCCTGTGGTCTATTTACATTTCCTACAGTAACCTTCCTAAGCAAAAGACTAAGGAAAATATGAAACTTACTTTTTTATTTCATTTTCTCTTTTTAAAGGAGCCTTTATATTTTTCTGACCTTGTGAAGGGCTCAGAAACAACAATTTTCAAATAAAAATTAGCAACAAATTTGCAGATGTCTCAGTAGTATAAAAATTATTGTCCACTTTAAGTCGTACCATCGCTCCTGGCTATGTGCATTGGATACCAATGTTACTTTACCATTTTCCCCCCACA